ATCTTCTGAGGTCCCTTCCAGCCCTAACGTCTATGAAAATCTATGAAAATCTATGACCTGTAAAATGCCTGGCACTTTGTTGGAGCAGTCATCATAATCATCAATATCCAAATATGGATTTCAGATAAATATAGAGAATCACAGAAATATTTCTTCTAAAAGGGATAAGGAAGTGGGAAGTTAGCTTGGAGACAATTGCTGAATTGCAGTCCCTTGTTTCCCTGTTGCTTTGAACTGCCCTCATACAATGAACAGGCTTCTTGAAACCCAATGTTCCTTAAGTCAGAGGAGTCAAAATTTTACACTGCATCTGGTGTAAATCAGTGTAGTGAATAGGACTAAGCTGAGCACCTGGCCCTGGATATTGATTATTTGGAAGCTGGTTCTGTGAAGCTATTACTGGGTCAGATCCTCAGCTGGTATGAGTTGCAAACCTTTCCATGACATTAATGGGATTATGCCAGCTGGTGGCTGGACTCCATTTCCCAGCAGCTCCTGTATCCAGTTGCTGAATACAGTTTCCATGGAGTAGGGCAGCCTAGGATCATGTACATGCTGTCACCAGTGCAAGATCCCAGGCCCAGCCCTGGTGACAGCATGGCCTGGAGCTGGGGCAGAAAATCTTTTATTTTTGAAGTTGAAAATCTGTCCTTTCCAGGTATGCAAATCTCACCTTCAAGATCTGCTGGAGAGTCACTCCCTTGCTGCTTGGTTCCCCTGCGCCCCTAACCAAGAGGATATGCAGAATGAAAATGGAGAGAAAATGCTCTTTGATGATGAGAGAGTTTGGCTCAAAGTAAGTGAGGCTACGTTGTCAGGGCTGGAGTGGGCTTCCCTATATTTGCCCTTGGTTTTCATCAATGAAGGCCGATATCCCTGCCTTGGAGTAATCATGAATTATCCGTGACAAGACTCAACAGCATCATACATGCATCAGATGCATCTGTGGGTTCTACAGGTCAGTCGCAGGAGCCCTGTGCCTGTACTACTTGTATACCTTGCTTCATCCACATTATTTGAGCCTGTTGCACCCACCTGTTCTGAAGGTTATCAGGATGTGGATCTCTACATGGAGAACCATATCTGAAAGAGAAGCCTTCAACAGTGATTAGGAGATGAAAAAACCCATTCCTGGCCATTTTCTGCTAAGTGCAATGAACTGTGTCCAGAACAGGGTGAAACTATGATTTTTTGTGTGTGTGTGCCGAACCAATACTATAGTAGATTATTCAAGATTAGTAATAGTAATTAGTCTTGGGGAGCCTGATTCACCATTGGCTTGCCCCACTGGGTGCAAACAAATGTAGCAGTGTTTCACACTCGAGTTTTCTCTTGTTCTGGTGTAAATGGCAGCACAATGCATACTATAACCCTCAAATCCTTAATACTCTGAGAAGGCTGACTGCTTTTGGGAGTTGAGCTGGTTGGCCTGAGATTCCTAGTCATTCAGAAATGAGTTACAGAAGAGGTGAGTCAGACCCTTCTTTGGATCTGGGCCTGAGTTTCTGAGAGAACTGTCCCTCTGTCCATATCAAAGTTTATCTATGATGTACTTTAGGGGAAAGAGCTGAATCTTTTCTCTTTTCATTAAAAAAAAAAGCAATTAATCAGTAAAGTGACTCCATCATGTCATGCAGCTTGAACCAAAGAGAGTGAGTGACTCCAAGTTGTTGTCTTGTGCCCAGTGAATTCAGCTGAGGACATGAATCCATATTTATAATCTCCCTCAGTAGTTCCAAATACAATATGTTTAGCTCACAATTTAATACATTTATTTTTCCTTGGTGCTGGCCGTATAGGCTGCATTGTGATAGCCATGCTGGGGGTTTCTTGCCTATTTTTCCATAACCAGAAATTCTGTCATTTGGGAGAGCTCTGGATACTATGAATGAATGTGTGAGGTATGCCAGCATCCAACCAGCTTCTCTGGGCCCTATTCTGCCAACTAGATGTTAGTTGCATCAGAAGAATTTGAGTAGAGAAGACACAGAGAGCTGATACACTGATTAGGGAGATAATATTTTTATAGTGTTGATTTTTTTTTGACCGCAATCACAGTTCAGTTTTATGTGGCTGTTACCTCGTATTATCTTAAAGATGCTATTTGTCTTGTTCTCTTTGCAGTTTATTAGGGGCATGTTGCCCTGGGTAGTTGTAGATTGTCTATTTTGTTAAGGCATTCAGAAGACTTAATGAAGCATCACGCATTAGCCTTTCTGGCTCCTCCTGTATTCCTGACTTTCTTGGTGTTTACCAAGATCTTTATCTACCTAGTCGTCATTCTTACCTGTCTGCATGCTTATGTCACTCCTTCTATGTTTACAACAGTGCAAATACACTTCATTTCTTCCACTTCTAACAAGAAGGCGGAGAAGCCTATCTTTGCTCCACCTTGGTGAAAGCTCACGTTCTGCTTCTCACCAGGGGTTAAAACATGTTCCATTTTATTGGAATTTGTGGTCAGTTCCCTTCCTCCATGGTTGTTTATATTAAAGACTTTCATTACTGGCTCCACAGGCTCTCTTTAGGAGTGCTATTATTTTCTGCCCATAAAATTATTTATGGACTAGTAATAAATACGCCCATTTTCTTTCTCTTTTATAGAGTTTGCTTGATTGCTAACAGATTGGGTTGAGAAGACAGATTCATGTTCACAAGCACATATTAAAATGTATGCGCCCTTCTGTGCAAACACAGATAGCTGTTTACACTCACATGCCTATTTCACTACTATGGGTACTGCCCTCTACTTACAGGACCATGGATCCTTAAAGATGCACCTGTTTTTTTAAGGGCAGTACAAGTCACATTGCTAATGAGACACACGCTTCCATTTTCTGTGTATTCAAACATTTTCAATAGGTGGTGCTAAAGAGCAAAGAAATGATCCTGCCTGTAGATGAGCATGGGCATGGCCATCCATCGAAACATGCAAACATCCATGCACCTTAATGAAGCTCCCACAGTGCACCTCAGTATGGCTAGTATATCACAGATGGGAGCCATTTATGACTTTAAGTGTTGGAGCACTTTGTTCTCCGTTTCCTACACTTTGGATTAAGGAAGGATTCAAAGATCATTAGGAAGCATGTTAGAATGTAACACAGGAAGTTAACAAGAGAAAAAGACTTAAAATGTGGCCAACCATGATCCAACATGTAGTATGGAAAAGGAAGCATAAACAGGGAATATTTAGTCAGATTAGCCAGATCCTATCATTGGAACTCAGTGCCAGGTTTTGCTTTGTCCCTACATGGGAGTGCAACCAAGGGAAAGGAAACAAAGAGCTTCATCTCAGCTCATTTGGTTTGAATAAAGGATTGCCCTGATGTCTGTGTAACTGCCCTGGTCACACTGTCTGAGGATTTGGCTCTTCGAAGGGAAGTCATAATGAGCATCCAACATGGCTGTGCTTATCTAAACTGTCCATGCTTTGTAGAACTGGAACTCTCTGGAGCAGACATCTTTGTGCATTTCTTGGTAGTGTTCTGCTTGCTTTGGATGAGACTGCAAGTATTTGCTCCCCTTATGGGTAGCTTCAGAGCTCAGGCAGGAGGCAGAAATGCAGCTAAAAAAAAAAAAAAGAAATAATAATGGGAGAACAAATATTAAACTGGAAATTAAAATGTGAAATTGTCCAACTTCAGTAAAAGCTGCATGTTTGGTTTTGTAAGAAGATCTTTTGTCTGCACCAGCTCACAAGAGCTCTGTATGGAGCCTAGTGAGTGGCTGAGAAAAGTCAGTCTCACCCTGTGATAACTGTATTTCTGTCTAACATGGTGAACTGTACTGGGACCTTCTGGACGCTTGCCTATTGTGGGGCAAGTTATAACACACGCCATCCCTCTATGGGGTCCTCAGTATGGCAGAACAAGGGGGTTCAGCTGGTTAGTGGGAGCAGAGGCGGGATTAGGGAAACCCGTTCCATGGGCTCATGCCTTTTGTTTAATGCAAGGTGTAGCTCTGCTGTGGTTCCCACAGTGAGTGACCTATACTAAAGCTAACTAGGCCAGAGGAGAGTAGGGCTGGACCTGCAGTTTTAGGGCTTCAGTGTCCACCCTCCTTTGCTGGGGCAGTCGCAGAAGAGCTGCAGGTTCCTGGAGGCCTCATGAGGACCTGGATTCCTTTCCTGGCTCTGCAGGCTCTTCTCTGTTTTTGGATTCCCTGCACCTTGTCCTTTAGGTGCCTGATCTGCATGGATTGATTGTGTGCTCTTCAGAACAAGGACTGTTTCTTAGTCTGTTTATATGCGGAGCCTGACATAGCAGAACCCCAGTCCAGCTTAGGGACTCAAGGCACCATGGTCACACACATTATTATATGTGAAAAGAGCCATGAGGCTACAGTGCAGGCCAAGTTTCTTCTCCCCAGCCCTAACACTGTGCTTTAGGACTCCTAAGTGCACAGCCTGGTGGGTTTGCCTCTGTTCTGCTAAATGGATTTGTCTTGTTGTGAAATATTGTTTTAACTCGAATCTATTGCCACTTGTCTCCAGCCTGCTTTTAGCAAGAGCATTCCATGGGGTGGATTTAGATCAAAGAGCATCTGAACATCAAGAGGTTTATATCCTCTTGCTTTCCAAAGGCAGCTACCGTGATTGATGCTCTGAGTTTTGCTGCTGTGCACTGCAGCCTCCTAGACAAGTCAGGGGAAGTGTCGGTTTTTCTACTAGACATTTCTTTCTGCCACAAATCTTTCGCAGCCACTCTCCAGCCACTCAAGGGCTTGTGGGTTATTTTTGTTTTGTTTGTTTTTTAATGGAAGCAGTTCAATGGCACAATTTATAACTCTACCAGCCTGTCACCTCTAGGTTTCAAACAGTGGAATGAGTTGTACCGTATAAAGCCAGCTTGGAGAAGCCTGAAACTGCATTGTCAGGTGCTAGGATGAGTGTTGTTGAAGGTTAGGATTGAGAAAAACTGACAGGTCTGTCTGAGGAACCTAGGCAGGCTCAGCAAAGTTGCTGCAAGGCAAAGTTACTATTAACAGGCACTGGGAAAGCTGTTTGAAGCTTCCAGGTTGGAAAAGCAGGAAGTCTGTATGACTGTTTATTTGTCTGTTCAAGTAGGTTGCAAAGCAATTGCCAACATAACTATTTTTTCTTCACCACAATCCCAACCCTGCCTTTCCCTTCTCTTATTGTACCTATTGCCCAGGTGTGCTTTGACAGACCCGGAGTGGCTACCTCAGTCTTTGTTTTCCTGGCCTCTGATGGCATCATCCCAGGTGACCAACACAAACTGACTGTGACTGTCCACCTGAGTGATGTGAGTGGGCACAATCACTCTCTGGGTGAGTGCACTAAGAACTGAGATGCAAATGCAAGTAGTGGTGTGAGGTCTCTCCCCCCTTTCCTCCTCCAGGACCTTCTCTTTCTCTCTCCTTTGTTTTTTTGGGGTTTTTTTTTTCCTGGTTTGAAGGGGACTGGGGAGACAGGAAGGGTCTAAGGAACAAGAGAAAAGAAAGGGATAAACCAGAGCTCTGTCAGTCAGCTTCTAATGAATGTACCAAATTGTCATGGGCTATTTGTCTGTGAGCTCAGTGGGAGCTGAGAGCACCCATCACTTCCTGGGAGTGCTCAGCACCTTTCCGGGCAGCATCTCACTCCAACTCGTTCTTGTAGAGGGCTTAGACAGGCTGTTCTCTGCAACAGACCAGGAAAGGACTCTGTTCAAGCCTTGGTCTCCTTTTGCTCACTCAATCTACTGTCCCATTTCTCTCAGCACCGACTCAGTCACCTGGTTTTTTAACCCAAGTATAATTTTTAGTTAGCTTAAAGCAGAAGGGTTTTCACAGAGCTCCCAGGCTGTGAGAGTGCCTCATCTGCTTTTTCACTGCAATGCTCCATTGGAGGAAGCCTGTCCAAGTTGCTTAGAGGAGATGGGAGACCACGCAGGCAGAACCCGAACTGTGGACTAAATCGAAGCAAGCTAAACAGTGCTAGCATTGGGCTAATGCCTTCTCTCTTGTTAATTCTTCTCCCTTAGGAACACATGAGCTCTCTTGTCAGAGGAACCCGTTGGTCATCAGTGTGACTCACAACCCAGGTTCCCTTCCCTATCGTGTTGCCTCAGTGCTGCTCAATTTCTCCTCCCCCTTAGTGGGTATCTCGGCAGTTGCCATGAGGACATCCTCCTCCTCCAGCACTTCCATTCCAAACACTTGCCTCCTGGAGCACGAGGGACATGGCTGTCAGAGACACAGGTACCACCTCTTCTTGCCTTCTGTTATGTTGCTGCTGAGTGGGAAGTCTTGCTTTGGTGGAGAGCCCAGCTCAGGAGCAGCTGTGTGGCTGTCATTCCTGTGAAGACCCTACCTCCCGTTGGCTCATCCAGAGAGAAACACCTGGTAAATCCTGGGCTGACCACTCTTTCCCATCTCAAATTTTAAGCCCTATCCCAGTAAAGTAGTGATGCTGCATTAGTAGATTGCAGACAAATGCAGCCACTGAAGAGGTGTTCCACTCATGGTTGAACTTCAGGCCACGTGTAGACCATAGCTGAAAGGTAGAGCAAGTCGTGTCCAGTGTGGCTCCTCAAAAGAGTAATAGAGATTTTCCCTAAATGCTAGCACTACACTTTGAACTCAGGCAGTTGTAAATTTTCATGCACATATACATGCATTCATCCTGCTGAAATAGCACGTAACTGCTTTTGGGCATTTTGAAGTTGGAAGGAAATGTATTTAGTGAGGTTTAGTTTACTCTCTGTTTGTGGGGAAAGTTTGTTAGGAAGCTAGAAGTATTGCATACATGTTTGTTCTTGTAAGAGACAGAGACCGTGACACAGAAATACAGTCCTCATTTCTGCCCACACAGACACTCAAGGATTACAAAGTTGAGTACTCAATAGTTAGGGAATATTAACACTAATATATGTTATTAGTGTATCCCTAATTCAACTCTTATGTGCATGAATTATGAGATGCTGTGTAATTACATGATCTCACACTATTTATTTTACTGGAGTTCTGCTGCATTCAGTTCTAGATCCAATACTTAAGCACATGTTCAATTTTTAAAGTCATAAATTGTTCCTGTCAGCTTAGGAGCATCTTAAGCACTTAAGAGTTATGTAAAAGAGTTTGCTTTTAGCTAGAGAGAGCTCAGAGTGCTGAGTGCTTTGCATAATTTTGCCCTGTACATCCTAGTGTCAGACACAACCTGCTGGTTAACAGGTCCCTGAGGGAGACAGAGCTGAAACTTCTCAAGGCAGCTTTGGCACCTGCTACTCATTAATGGAGAGGGTGTCTCCATTAAGCAGCCTGTTTTGAGGAGCTTGACAAGTGCCTGCCTTTCCATCTGTATGTTGGTTACTTTCCACTTAACCACTGGGTGTCCCTGGCCTGTTCCAAACAACTACACTAAGCCAGGGAATCTCCTTTCTCTCTCTGCATGGGTCTGGGTGCCATGCTAGATTCCTCAGCTATGTAGAGGTCTTTCCTAACCCTCACAACTGCTCATTTACCAAGTCTCATACTTCTTCAGTCACGGCCAACACCAGTAATAAAAGAAATACTGTAGTTTATCGGTGTCCAGTACTCCAAAGCCTCTAACCTTGTTTGTAAAGGATGTAACTGAGAAGCAATAGTGGCAGAGTGCAAAATGTTCCAAGTCACACTGCAAAGGAGATGGGGAATGAAAAAACTGGAATCCAAGACAGAATAAATAACTAATGCAGAAAGAACAAGCAGAGCAGAAAAACAGAACTGAGAAAGAAAGGTGCTGAGCTTTGTCCTAAAGGGGTGATGATGATTGTGATTGATAACAGTAGCCAGGACTGTGGAGTCTGGGTCTAGATCCAGATCCCAATTCCCCACAGTTTAAATGTGTCCAGACCCAACATTTTAGTTCTACCACTTATTCAGATAGTGTCCCGTTATGAGTACTGGATTTGAATCCAAGTTTCCCCAGAGTTTAGATTTAAGGTTTTGCCTGTGTTCATCTCTCATGCTGATTGGTAGGATTGTCATTCTTTTTTCTAATAATAGTATATGGAAGGATGAAATGCATACATGTAGGGTGGGGGGTGTGAGTGTGAACGAGTAGGGCTATGATCTGTCTCATATAGGCAGAGCGCTGGAACACACAAATACTTTGTAGATACTGTTTCAGAAAACACATGATACATGCAGCAAATAAAGCTGAGCTTTCTTAGTGAGTAAATGGATATGGATTAGTCCCCAAACTACATTAAAGGATCACTGTTCACCTGAAATCTAGTCAGTTTCTACCTGGGAACAGTTACTGACGTGTACA